GTTTCTGCTCTGACACAAACAGTCCTTATTCCCCCCTGAGGGTATGAATGTGTCTCTACCTAGTCTTTGTCCCTCTAGCTAAATATTGATACTGCCATTCTCTCCATATTAGCAAAGGGCTGTTGATCACAAAGCAGGAGTGCAAAAGTGTGCGTGTTTGTGGCTCAGAGTGTTAATGAGGCAGAAGCAGATGCATATTTAATATCCTCTACATGCTGTCATCATAAATGCTTTTATGTGCCTGTCAACTCCTCGCAGATTTGGTGTGTCTTTACTTGCTGACTCAAAGTAGCAGCAACACTGCTACACACCCAACCACCCACACACATACACACACTCATACACACGCATTGCTATTACTTTACATTAACATTTATATTAATAGAACAGTAAAAAAATATGATCTGCTGTCTATTTATTGTTAAATGTTTTATTACAGCATCTTTAGATGGTCTAAAGAAGCTGTGGGCAACATGACAAGGTCGGTATTGGTTGTGAGGCAACTTCAGCTATATTTAGAGGACTTTACTGAGGGTTAGATGAACACAAATTGTCAGGTTGCAGCTGGATCCCTAAAACGCCTTCAGGACCAAACAACTGCTAAACTGCTTGAAAGCTTGCTGTCGATACTCTGTAGCAGATGTGTAAAATAAACCACGCAAATCCCAGACTGCAGTTTTAACTGGATTTCTGGGAGTAGTTTAACAACCTTTATCAGGAGAATATCTTTGATTTAGTACACCCTTGCATCTGTTATTGAAACTTAACTTACAAATTCCTCAAACTCTGTTGAGGGTTTATATTTACTATTTCAGTCTTTATTTTTTATGAATTTCATTTTACTGGACACAGATTAAAAATCTTTGAAGGAAGCAGGGGACAAGTTTTGAATGCTATCTTCCTCACAGGCGATAGCAGCCAAACATTTAGGCCAAAATCTCCTTCAAAGTTGTCTCCATGTGGACATCTACACTGCCTCCACCTTTCCTGCTACTTTTAGGACAAACCCTGGAGGACCTCAAAACTGTGCAGAGAACAAACATCAAGTTCTGCCTGAAAGTGATTCATGTAAATATTTTTGCTACTGATGAGAATCTGGTGTCTGGAAAAAAATCCAGAAAGCAAACAGCAGTGAAAGAGTCTGCACAAAACCCAGAGGTAGCACATCAGGAGCGGAGCATGACCAGTAGCTTGCTGGTCATGAAAAGGGCAAATCAAAGGGTTGCTGTTTTGATACAATGGATTAGATCTATTATGCATCTTAACTTGAAGAATCCAGAGCAGGAATTAAAGGAAGTGATTTAAAGTAGCTGCAGCAGCTGAAGTGGTGCAGAGGTGCCCAAGGAGTTGAGGATTTGTGTATTTTTTGATTATCTTTATGCAGTATGCACGGGCACACACATGCTTGCAGTTAGTGGGTTGGGAAAGTGTTGTAAAGCAGAAAATGGACTGTTGTTAAAAATTATTGATTGAATTAATTTAGTGTGACCATTCAGGCTTACCTAGTGCCCTGGAACTGATCTAAATTTCTGTCTGTGGTCCTGTAGCCTATGGCCAGTTTATTAATAATTTTTTATAAGGTGCACGGACACACTTTTGCTGCAGTATGCGCCTTCAGAGGTTTAAAAATGCAAGTATGCTTCAGCCGAGGGCAGTATGAATCGAGAGCTCGAGCGGTTTCACGAGCAGTAAGAAACTTGTTGAAGTCAGGCACTTGTTGAAATGGAAAATATTCATCGAGTATCCAGGGATGGGATGAAAGAAAGAGCCAGAGATGAAATAAAATCTGTTGCTACAGCGAAAAAAAATTCTACTTCTCATATTCATACTCATACATATGCTTGTGCATCAATCAGTAAGCAGTGTGGGTATCAGCACTCTCCCTCAGGATTAAAAGACTGTTTTTTTAAGAGATTGAAAGTGAGTGAGCGAGTAAGCTCAATGTAGGAGGTCTGTGTCAAACGCCAGTCATGTAGTGTGCGTGTGTCCCTCAGGCTGAGGGCAGAATACAGATAAAGTTCCTCACTGGCTGCTGGATTGGATGTGATGTTTTCTTGAGTGCGCTGCAGCGTGCCTGCCCGTGTCTGATAAAAATAGTGAGAGGACACTGTAGCAACATGCAAACTGAAATTAAAATGCATTTGTGTATAAAGACACTCAAGCCCTCACTCCCAAACCCGGCCTGTCACATCTACAATCTCACACACATTCTTTTGCTGATTTGCCACTCGGCACATGACCAAACATGAGGTGCAAGCTGCAACATTAAAAAGCTATTAAGCTATCATTAGTGGCGCCATGGCTGCCCAGTGGAAGGCCCGAGGCTCTGACAACAACAGCAATCTACTGTTATAGCATCTAAATGTACTGTAATGAACCCACTGTGTTTCAGAGATTAGCTACAGCTCATGTGCCAGAGATCAGTCAGGCCCCATCTCTGTCAGTCCCCATCTCCGCACACAGGGAGAGCCCAGAACACGGACCGGCCGCAGTAAACAAGTAGTACTACAATGCTAAACAGCGGACCAGTGATTTATATTTGGAGCTTTAAAAAGCGCTACATTTCATGATAAACAGCAGTGGGAGAAAATGCAAAATCAGGCCCATTTGTTAGAGAAAGTGGGAGTACTACAGATGAAGAATACGAGCTGTTTTGCAGTAAGAATTAATCTCACAGCATCTGCTGCTGGCCTCTGATTTATTTGTGGTGTCTAATGTTTTTTTTGTGGTCTTTGTTTATCTTTGTTTATCCACAATAGCCGTAGGTCACCCACCCTCACAGGTAATCTCTCTTAGAGATATGCTAGGGTGTAAGCATAAGAATTCCATTAACTGGTTAACTGCCAACAATAACAATACGTTTCAGCGTAAATGTTTTCATTAAGTTCCAATAAAACTGTTTTTAACAGCACTTGCTCTGTTCATATTATTGGAAGTTATCCATGTGATCTTATAAGTCAAAGTCTGACTTTATGTGGCCGTGTAAACAAGAAAGGTTCAAATCGAAAGCCTGAACTCTTGGCTCACAGGAATTCCTTTTAACATGTTTCAATTTAATATGAAATTCTGATGGAAAAGCATAAAAGGTCCCTGTAAGTGCATCCAACCTTCCTCAGAACATATTAGACAAACCGAAGCCCCAAGCTCAAAGCATACTTTCTGTTTGGTGTTCCTCTGAGGCCGAAATGAACCTGACACATTCCAGATGCTGTGACAGGTATCAGACTTGATGACTATTACTCATGCTAGAATTAGACTTGGTAAGCAGATGACACTAATTTTAGCAAGACTGCTACTAGATGGATACGGTACATTGATTACAATGTCTGCACGCGCACACACACGTGCGCGTAGTGGATCATTAGGTCGTGTTTATAGATAAAGCTGGAGTGGACTCTGGGCCGAGTGCCAGAGCTTGACAGAGCGAGACCATATAAGCAGGTGACATTTACACTACGCAGACTAAAGCATTAGATAGTCATATGTCTAAATCCATTCCTCATATAAATAAATGGAAAGTATTTTGCCAAAATATTATACTATACCTCAAGAAATAAGCTTTTTGTCTTTTCAGCAGCAGTGTCGAGAATTCTGACATGCATGAGCGCATGTATGTGTGAGAATGTAGTGGACAGACAGTGAGTCCTAACTCTTTTAGACTCCCACTGAAGCTAATTTTTGCTGATCTTCAGCAATTAGATGGTGTCTTATGTCTATGTGAAATGTCAGTATGAAAAAGTCCAAAGCCATTAAATTTCACATTTGAAAATCTACCAAAGTCTCCATCCGTCTGTCCATCCATGCACTCAGCTGCCCAGCCAGTCATTTTCTTAATCACTTGTCCATTTCAGGGTTCAGAGAGTTCTGGTGTATCCCGCAGGTGGAGTGCACACTGGACCCAGACAGCCAGTCCATCACAGGGCCCACATAAAACTGACGCAAAAGCTGAATATTGTTAATTTTTTTTATTTAATCTTTATTTAAGCACTCAATTTACAAGAAATTACTTTTTCAGACAGCATAATAAAATTACAATTACAAGTTATGATTTCACAACATTATTTATGAGTCTGCAAATGGAATCGATTGAAAGATTTAAATTTAAATTGAATATACATTGAAAACCCCAGTAGCTGTGACTATATGTCAGTAATGAATACATAGATGCAAAATGCATTTTTTTTTAATTTGTGAGATTTTCTATATTTCCATGAATGTCAGACAAAAATGTCAGATTTTCCTAAAAGTAGATACAGAAAAATCTGCATTTATCAGGGAAGATTGTATGTGAACTTTTAATTTGAAAACTATTTCAATCAGTGGTTTGAAATTCAACCTGTAAGCTGATGTGCCAGTTTTTTCCTGCAGTCATACCCTCACATCAGACTCAACAGTGGCACTTTGGATTTGGAAAAAGAGGAAACAGATGTTGAAGGTCATATTTTAACTGCTGTGTGAACAGATGGTATCGGCATGTGCGATTCCCAGTGCAAAAGGAGGGGTGATGGTCTTTCCTGGTGACACTGTTGACATTTTATTTAGCCAACAAGTCCTCACCATTAAGTGTGAATTCCTTTAAGACTGTCGGGAAAGCTCCAGGAAACGACCTCAAGAAGCTGGTTGAGGGAAAGCCAAGAATCTGCAAAGCTGCTATCAGACGCACAGTTTTGATGTCTTTAGTAATGTTTAAAAAACAACAACAACAACAAAAGCACAGAAAGGACAATAACACTGGCAGTCCAGATGTCTGACTGTCACTGTAAAAAATATACACAACTACACAAACTACAGTATGTCAGAAAACGTGAAATGAAAAGATGCTTTTTCATCATTCAGTATTCAGTATCCTATTGTGTGATGCACAAACAGCTGCATCCATCTGTTGCCCTCCTGCAAGCTGTGAAGATAAAAGTGGAGAAGTAGGAAGCAAGATCAGAAATAGGCCACCATGAATAAAATCACAAAGAACTAACGATGAACATTCCCATGCATCCCTACAGGATAGTGGCACCATGCAGTTTTGTGCCAACAAGCTGGACAAAAAGGACTTCTTTGGCAAGTCGGACCCTTTCATGGTTTTCTACAGAAGCAACGAGGATGGAACGTGAGTGCTGCTTGTGATTTTGTCTTGCATTGGGAAGCGTTTGAGGAAGGCTCCTGAGACATAATCCATGGAGCTCCAGCCTTGGTGCGGTGGTCTAATTCAAAGGTGCTGCATTTGCCATGTTAAGTCCATGATTGAAATGCACAACATTTAGTGGAACAGTTCAGACAAAAACAGCTAAATATGATTATTAGAGAGGAGCTGGAGTGGTTCATGAGGTGCGTACACCCCAGAAAGCTGTGTACAGAGGCATCTATCCAGTTCACACCACAACCACAACTCCCATGACTATGCCTTACATAAAACACTCCAGGAGAGCAAATTGGAAAAAGAGGCAATTAATGTAAGAAGCATAAAATGAACAGATAAAGAAAAACATTGCATCTGCACCTGCCTTTTAAACCAATAGGAAAAACAGTTTCTGAGGCAATTCACGTAGGGATGCACAAGACTCTCCTATCTCCTCACACTTTCCCAGAGTGCTGTTTAGCCTCCCAGAGGGCTTTGCAATTGTCACGGAGTCAGCGCTATCTACCAACAGATGCTTCACCAAGTGTTGTGTTAGTCTAGTTTGAGTTTTTTTTCATGCATTTTTCTCTTTATGTTAACAGCTTGGGAAACCAATCCCCATAGGCATGCTACATGTTGGTGGCCAGAGGAGGTAAAAGTTAGAGGCTCATGGCTAAATGAGTCACAGGGGTCTGAAAGGCTTGAGGCAATTAGTAGTGCATGAGTAATCCAGGCCTTTGGGTAAAAAGGCCTGGATTGAAACTGATACGTTTTTGCTTTTTAGGAGGTTTTTTGACTGCAAAAATTTTAGATATCAAAGGAATCCATTAGCATATCATAGTCTCACCTGCGGTCAAAGATAGGGAATTAAAAAGCTAGACAAAATATAAAATTATTTGTTATGGTCTAAAATATGTGAGACTGGCCTAGCCCTATTTAAGACTGCAAGATTTTCTTTATTGTTTTGCCCATCTCCTACATTACCTGCTTCTTCCCTGCATAGTTTTGTATTTCTCTCTGGGTTGTGTAAGCAACAAAGGACAAATTTTATTTCACTGTTTTCTTGAATATATTTGATAACATTTGTTCTCCTTCTCTAGGTTTACTATCTGCCACAAAACAGAGGTGGTGAAGAACACATTAAATCCAGTGTGGCAGCCTTTTACCATCCCAGTACGAGCACTCTGCAATGGAGATTATGACAGGTACAACAATTTACACTTTCTTATCTGCATATCTGCTGTTTTCCCCACACTGTTGCATTTGGATCTGTTGACCTTCTCTTTCTACCTGATAATAAATATAATACACACACCATGAACAGTCGGTAATGTTGAAATGAGAGATGGTGATGTAGCAATAAATTTACAATTCTCTTCGAACAAGCTTTTCTCTTATAAAATTAAACAGATAAAAATGCTGCCCTTGAAGGTATCAGCCAAGTTAGCAACCAATTGCTGACTGGCTGTGAGTGGTTGCTGAAAGTTGCTGACAATCACTGTAAAATTAATTGCTAAAGCCCCATTCATACAGGCCCAGAGACCAGTCATTGACTCTGGTAACTGCCAGTTGCTAGGGAAGAGTGTATAATCCTTGACCTGTTGTGCTTGCTAGAGGTTACTGCTAGTTGCTATTGTCAAATAAGTTGCTAAGAGCTCCTTACAATTGCTTTGGTCACTACATGGTTGCAATCGTCACCCGTAGTCTATAAGGAAAATGCTGAATAGTCAGCAAACACTAGCAAACTACTTGCCAAGCTTTAGTGAAACTGTGAAATGTGCGATGCAAACCAGAAATGGAGACTATTCGCTTTCACAGTGAAACTTGCACCTTGAATATCGCCTCTGTCAGTGCGCCCCAGGGTGGCTGTGGCTACAATGTAGCTTGCCATCGCCAGTGTGTGAATGTGTGTGTGAATGGGTGAATGACTGAATGTAGTGTAAAGCGCTTTGGGGTCCTTAGGGACTAGAAAAGCGCTATACAAATGCAGGCCATTTACCATTTTGAATATGAACGAAGGTTTAAATTGCACTTTTTCAAGTTTCACTAAAGCTTGCAGTGAAACTACAAGGAGTAAAACTTAAGTAGTTTGCTAGTATTTGCAGACTAGTCGCTATTGTTCATGCAAACCACAGCAATATGCTAATGACCAAAGCAATTGCAAGGAGTTTTTGTGTTTGCTAACTGGTCTCTGAGCCCGTGTATAGTAGTTACGGGTTAGATGTGAGACTGTCCTCAGCTGTCAATGTCTTAATTCAAGCAGCCATTGTTTTAAGAGTGACCAAGCTACCGTTAGCACTGTAAACCACATACGTGTGGTGTGAACGCAGAAAGCTCATTATTCAGACAACACAAGGCTTAACAAATTGTGAGTCGATGGGGAAAAAAATTAAAGAGCATCCACGTGACTAATATGATGGTTAACGAATTTAGAAGCATTTTAAATACACTGTCATGATTCAGGCTTCATCCTCTTTCTTTGTTTTTACACTGGATTACATTATTTGCCAAATATCTAAAATAATGATGGGTTGCTCTTCCCTCCTGGCACATAATTAATGCAGATATGTTGTGTCAGAAAAGTAATGAATTCCCTTTCCTCATGGGGTATCTGCCTGTTTCTAATTTAGAAGACAGTTCTGAGAAGAAAACAAAGTAAATCATGAAGGAGCTGTGAGGATAGACGAAAAAAGTTGTGACAGATCACTTTTTGGGGGGGGATGTTTTTTTTATGCATCTTTTTCCTGCCTCTCTCTCTCTCTCTCTTTTCTCAGCTATCTCTCTCAAAGGTGTCTGTCGTATCTTTTTTTGTGTGCAGTGAAAGTAATTACAGAAAATGCTGAGAACCTGGTGTGCGCTTAGAAAACTGAGATGAATCCTAAAGAAAAAGGGACATAGCTACTGATGACGCGGATTTTATGGATGTGTGGCATTGCCTCAAGATGCGTTTCGATAAATTTCAGGCAAAACTGTGTCAGCCAGCCAATCACACACAAGTCCGAGAAGTGCTCGCTACCCTGTCAGAGCCAATCATACACAAGGGACTGAGCTGGACATCAAAGGCACTTCCTTAAATGTTCCTGTGCTATGAAAGCATGAACACATATACACACATGCCCACACAGTATAATGAAATGTGACAAGCCAAAAGCTGAAACAGCAGGAGATTCTGTGTGTCTTGAAATATCACCAAGACAGTGCTATAAACAGGTTATATATTTGAGAGTGGGCGAGAAATCAACTTTGTGTGTCAGTGGTTTTTTTTCTCTTTTTTCGGTTTTCGTGTTCCTGTGAGAGGGCAATGGGGAGGCCTGTCAGTATTTTTAATTACATAGTTTGCAAGATCCTTTAATAAATAATCTTTACAACCTCTGTCGTGGTACATTATCGCCGAGGATGTCATTCAGCAAACACAGCTCTTTAGGCTGTCAGTCACTTTGAACCAGTATGCAATTACTGCTTACAGACATCAAGTGAAGGAAACCTTCCAAATATTTGAAGTGTTAATGTGATGCAAAGAGCCAGATACAACAAACACATCTAATACTGTCCAGACCTATTTAAAATTGTACAAGTATCAAACATTTGTCTTTAAAATTGAGTTTTGAATCTTGCAGTTTGCAGTTGCAGCCAATTAGAACAAGTTGGCTTAAAGGGAGAGGAGCTGAAAACAACGCGATTCAGACAATGAATGAGCTGTGGGAATGCACCGATGCCCATCGGATATAAATAAGGATTATTTGGAACTGTAAATCATGCAACACTACTCTAGAATAAATATATAGACATAATCTGTGGACTGAGCCCTCAGAAATGGCTGCTATTTAATGCCATGAAAAAATATTTGCTCTCTTCTGAATTTCTTAGTTTTTTAGATATTTGTCACACTTACCTGTTTCACACCATGCAGCTGATTATATAATGATTTCAGGTATTAAGGGAACAAAGCTATCCACAAGCATTTGAAATAGTTGGCAAGTCTTTCAGATCACTCTTTAATTTAGCCACATTTTTGAGCATGAATGGCCCGTTTAGGTCGTGCCAAAGTATCTCAATTGGATTTCAGTCTGGATTTTGACTAGGCCACTCCAAAACCTTCCTTTTGTTTGTTCTGAGCCATTCAAAGGTGGACTTGTTGGTGCGTTTTGGATCATTGTCCTGCTGCAAAAATTGGGTGTGCTTGATCTTCAGGGGGTGAACTGATGGTTGGACATTGTCCTTCAGGATTTTCTGGTAGAGAGCAGATTTCATGGTTCCATCAGTAACTCTTTCCAGACTTTATTTCTCAGCTGTTTCTTTAGTTTTTGGCATGGTGCATTACACGTTGAGATCTTTTAATCTGCTTCACTTTGTCAGACGCATTTTATTTAAGTGATTTCTTGATTTATTAAAAAGTCTGGCAGTAATCAGGCCAGGGTATGGTTAGTTAACTTAAACTCATCTCTCAAAAACAATGGAATTAATTTGTGATTCAGCAGGCAGGGCTATTACTTACAGGGTCGGGTATATGGAGAGCTTTTTCCCTCTTAATAAATGAAATTGTTATTTAAAAACTTTGTTTTGTATTTACTCAGGTTATAGTTGTCTGATATTAAAATCTGTAACTGGAAACATAGAAATGTGAAAAATATGCAAAAAACAAAAAAATCAGGAAGAGGGTAAATACTTTTGAAGACACTGTGTGTTAAATGCAAAGCCTATTTTATCATGTTTGTCAGCTGGATGAAAGGGGAAAAATGTGCTGTATGATGTAGCTTGTTAAGCTATCACAAAGTATTTTTCTACCCAGGATATATAGTTTAAATATAAAAAAATCTTTTGTTTCTGTATGATGCCTAACATTAGCTAACACCATAGTCTCAGTTTTCCGAGAATATCTTGTTAGCTAATGACATTTCTGTTTCATTCGTGCTTTCTTTGTCTTTGCAGTGACGTTAAAGCTACACCTGGTGGACATTTAAGCCACCTGTTTGGTGTACGGCACATTATGATGATTTATTTCTGAAGTCTCTTCCACTGCAGTTTGAATAATTCTTTTCCAATACACCAACTTTTACACTTCAACACGGAGGCATATTTTTGCAGAATATAAATGTTTTTGTTTTTTTTTACGATAGATGACACACATGGATAAAGCAATAATCTGAAGTAAATGTGTTGTCTTCTTACTTATTCTTACATTGTATGCCTTTCCCAGAGAGGCCTTATCTCGTAGCCTGAGGCCTTAGTATTTCAAACATTTCCTTCAATATAATGTCCTCCTAACCTTCCACATCTGAAGCGAGTGCAGAAGATTTTCCCTATTCTGGCGTGAGTGTATCAGGGTGTAGAGACAGCGTCTGTAGTTCCAGCTGTTTGTTATGTGCATCTCATACTCTAATGTGTCTCATTCTGAGCCCATCTCATGTTGACGAAGACATCGAGGTATCTCTACACCTTGCCTCCATGAGTCAGTGGATGACCGACTGCTGATTTGCTTTCCTGTATTAGTTGGCACACATTCATCCCAGTCGTTGCACCAGTTGACAAAAGGAGAAGCTGAAGTTTAACAAGACTCTCCAAAGTGACATCTCTAAATGAATAAGACTAGCAAGACACAGTGTCTCCGCTGTAAAAGTAAAGCATCCGTCCCACTTCCTGCAAGATTTTCTCCTCCAAACAAGACAAACAGCCACTGGAAGCCAAATAAAAAATAGTGCTGCACATGATCTCTCCACTCTATTTAGCTTGCCATTTATTTTAATAGGTTTTAAATGTGAGACCATGTTGAGCTTCCCAGGGTACGCCTTGTCCCTAAAATTGTTTATATTGTAGTGATGTGCACTTTAGGCATGAATCTATGAAATTCCAGTGATTCAAACTCTCAAATCAGGTGATGAAAAAATGGCATTTCTGTTTCATTTTCAGTGTCTTTGTTAAAACCTAAACTTCCAATGGGAGCTGACTGTAAATATTTCAGTGACAGCCGTATGTTATTTTGGCTGACTTCCCCTCCAGTCATAGGACACTTTTTTTTTCAGCCAGTGTGGTGTTGCATCTAAAAACATCCACGTGCTGCCAAAGGAGTGTCCGAGGGCTTTAATGTATTCTACTACTTCTGTTGAAATAGTTTCAAAAGGCTGATGTTGTCAGTCTCCCATTTGGGGAGTACAGCTAATGGATGACCGCGCCCTTTTAACATCCCATCAGTGGACAAACTGAAAAG